TGTGTGTGTGTGTGTGTGTGTGTAATATGTTAGATCGTGGTCGTAGCGGCATTTCTGACTTGGTGGTTTCGGATATTCGCGACAAGGACTATTTGCGCAAGTCGTTTTGAGGTACACTCAAATCACAGTCCATCACGTTAACTATCTGGCCACGCCCGGCCCATTTTCTACTTCAAAGACGGTGGAATAATGAAATGAATATATATATAAGCTATAAATGTGTAATAGAGAAGAAAAAATGTTTGTTTTTTTGTCATACTCAACTAATTTGAAATTAAATTAATTTTGGACCAACCTTTTTTTATTTTGTTTTTAACTTTGCTTTTGCTTTTGGCTTCACAATACAAAGTTAGTGAATTCATAGAAGGTTGTAGTAACGTTTTAAAATAATACATATATATTTACATGTCTAGACTGAATCTCCAGCAAAATTTACCACAACACGATATTTCATAAACCCAAGAACTGAGCAAACATTTGTTAACTTGTCTTTATTTACTATTTAGTTGTTGGACAGCAAGGTGGACTCGGTTCCTGACTCCGATTCTCTGTTCACCCTAGATTATGGAAGTGGCAGCGGTTTGTACTACAATACCATCATTGATGACGAGGATTACTACCTGTACAACTACTATGGTTCCGGAAGTGGTGATATATGGAATGTGTTTGATTATTCATCTGGTAGTGGTGACGTCGGCCTCCTTACTACAGCTGCCACTACTATGGAAGAAGACATCGGAGGTATGTTTTGTTCTATGTTCAAAGGAAGAAATGGCGGGATTTTTGTGACGCCTGCCTCCTGGAGTTTCTACACCTTCACCTCTGTTTCTTTTTACTAATCTAGTCTAGTACCCAGAACCGGCATTGTTAATGTATTAAAACTGTAGCATAGAGTCGGTATTTTGAGCTTCAGAAGAAGAAAAAAATAATAGTGTATTCATACCATTCGATAATACATGTTTTTATTGCTCAGCCTGATCAGTTGAAAATATTTCTCATAGATTCGCTTGCGTGGAATGTGGTTTTACTGGAATATCAGGTTCTCATACCACTAAGTTCAGGTTGGGTCTACCTTGAAAGTCAGTAGTTTTTATTGTCGGATTATTTCTCTAGTTATATTATGCAGTACAACCTGCTTGTCTATTACACAGCTTTAGCTTCAGTTTTTTCGTTCATTATACACTTAAAATAAAACCGCACTCGCTTGTTATATTTAGTTACAACAAAAATTACAGAGACATAAAAAAGGAACGATAATACACGCATTAAATTATCCACAATATACTCAATGAAAAAAAAAATAACACTCAAACACAGACACAATGAAACTGTACTAGATCGACCCCCTCATCTTTCATATCCTATATATCGGCATTTTTTACACGGCATAATGACATATAAATATACTATAGAATAGCACGCTCTTGTTTCACCACGTGCTCCGTATCTCTTCCATTTGGAGGACATTCTGGACTCAACGTTACTTTCTACTACAAATATTTGTTGAGAACATTTTGTGTTTCATAAACGCGTGTCTTTTACGTACAGTGAAAAATATCTTTAACAGTCGTATTATTAAAGGATATTTAAATCCGCTTTTTGTTTACATCCGTTGAAATTAAGTGTGCCGGCATGAGCATTTAGACAGTAAGGTTCGCGCGCATTTTCAGGACAGAGAGACACTGAATATTATTATAATGGATTTCTGTGATTATAAATTCCTGCTGTTTTCGGCGAGATTCTTATTTTACCGACTACTGAACATAGTGGGAAATGAATTCCTTCCTACTTTAAAAGAAATGAGAACCTGTTTACTTGGTTTTTCTTAGGCTGTAGAAACAATCTTTTCTTTTTATATCTTACTGCGCGGAAAATCTAGAGTAAGAATTTTGTACAACATATTAAAAGCTTATCAAAGCTTTTAAAAAGGTTTAACGTTACAAGTTTACTTAGTGAAAGTCTTAAGTACGATGAAATTTAGCCCTAACTAAACTAAAGAAAAAAACGTACCCAACTTACAGTGTTAATTTATCGTACTTTAAAAAGGCTTAACTAACATTAGGCCCCAATCGGACTTTTAGATTTGTATGTCTGCGGTTAGAATTACTTTGTATTATTCTATAAATTCTGTATTTAAAGAAGTATTGTTGCAACAAAGATACTAATTTGACCGCAAATGTTTTGTGTGTCACTGCTGGTCTGTATATATATTTTTATGTAGCTTTAGACTTGAGCTTAAAATGTTTTGTTGCAGAAAAAATGTGGGTACTTTTTATCACTGATAGCAAATTGCCTTAAACTATCTTAAACTTTTAGTCAATGGAAATATAAAATAGGCCATGTTAAACTAAAGTACATACTTGTAAAATAAGGTTTGGTTTGTTTGGAATTTCGCGCAAAGCTACACAAGGACTATCTGCGCTAGTCGTCACTAATTTAACAGTAAAAGACTAAAGGGAAGGCAGCTAGTCATCACCACCCACCGCCAACTCTTGGGCTACTCTTTTACCAACGATTAGTAGGATTGGCCGTCACATTATAACGCCCCCAGGGCTGAAAGGGCGACAATGTTTAGTGGGAGTGAGATTCGAACCCGTAACCCTCAGATTGCGAGTCGAGCGCTCTAACCACCTGGCCATGCCGGGCCCATTGGACAAGACAAGATATGTAACATACCACAAAGGGTAACAAGAAAGACATAAGATATTATACAAACCAAATATCCAGCAAAACCACTTTAATGTTGTTGTTTTTTTATCATATCAAATCTAAGTGGAATCCCCTGCATTTTGCTACATGAATTCCATTTTATACTATATTTAATGCATAGAAAGTCATTGATATACAGATGAAAAAAAGAAGAAAGAAAGAAACCTAAATTTATTAAGAGAAATATTTTGTAAAGTATTGTTTTGTTTTTATGAAAACACAGAACAATGTTTGTTTAACGGTTTTGGTATGTTAAACATTATTCTAGTATGTTCATAACTCTCTGAATAATTGTTACGATTTATTTTTAGTTCATATTACTGTCGCTAGTTTGAAATTCCTTATGTCGTTACAAGTTTTCATATTATCAGTGAGGGTCGCGGGTTCGAATCCCCGTCACACCAAACATGCTCGCCCTTTCAGCCGTGGGGGCGTTATAATGTGATGGTCAAT